GACCTTATTTCCAATTAGTTAAACTTTATCCTTATTCTTAATATTTTTAATTGTGAGGTTCTACCTGGGCTTCTGCAATCGGTCAATCCTCTTGAAAGGTTTCTTTCTCTTTTCCTAAGAGATTACCTACTTCATTATTTATTGTAGAATTACCTTCTTTTAGCCCTTTCATACTGGCTTTTTCTTCTTCATTTTCTCTATTAATCTCAGAAGAAGTTTCAGATTCCTTAATTTCTTTACCCTTAGGTTCCATATTGGTTATTAGGTCTTCAATATCTTTGTCTTCAAGCTCTTCAGTAACAGTTTGCTTCTCGTCACTTTCTGAATAACCAAAGGAAGTTTTCTCAGCCAGTGTAGTTTCTTGAACTTCAGTTATATTTGTAATATTTTGGGTTTCTAGGTTATCATAATCTTGTTTCCAAATTTCCAGTTTATTATCAGATTCTAATGTTCTGTTTAAATTATCCATATTTTTCTCTAAAATATGAAGCATAGCCATTATTTGTTGAAACATATTATTAGTATCAGTACAATTCAAATTGTTGCTACTACTTATATTTATTTTTTCACCATCCACATTATTTTCACTAAACTCATGAATTACATTTAATCCTGACAGACTTTCACCTTCCCGTTCAACTACTGTTACAGTTTTCACGTTGGCTATTTTAATCAAGAGGGCTTTGTACAACTGACTCTGCCTTATTTTCTACAATAACAAGATCCGCATTAGATTTTCTAAGAATTATATTATTAAGATCTCTACCTTCCATTATCTCTCTCTGGCCACGCATAGTTGAGCGCCAAAATGTAACATCTCTCTTATATTTTTAAACTAATAATAATACAATCTCGAAGGATCACTTTATACCATCCGGATACTTCCAAAATAAAGAAGAGGTTATTAAATAAAAAACGCTTTTTAATCACTTCCAATAAAGCTGTACATTACAGTATATAGAAAATGTTCAGTGTCCTTACAAACAAACAATTTTCTAATGATTATTATTATAACCAAAGTGCAATAGTTGGTGGAAAAATAAAAATATGGTTACAAGTTGTGAAAAATAAAATTATTAAAACTTTGAGGGATGAGAATTTCAAAACCCTACATACACAGATATTTTTTTCGGCCAACCTCAGCACCAACAACTTATGGTTGCTAGTAATAATTGTTAGAACTCATCATGCGCATCACATTTCACACACACACACACACACACGCACGCATCTCCAATGCGACAGCGTTTTCATAAAAATAATATGAAATATAAATTTTGTGTGGATAATTGTTACAGTTTTTTGCAATTATGTTAAAGCCTTTCCCTATGAGTTCAATTTATCAACAATTTTGCCTATCTAAATATCAATAAAAAAAATATTCAATTATATAAAGCACATAATTTTAATACAATGTTGTATAATTCACAAAATATATTAAAACTTTAAGGGAAAAGAAAAAGTGCTTTATATTATATTACTACTAAAAAAAAAAAAGAGGAATACCACATTACCATTGGCAGAAAGAATGTATCTTATTATAAATAAATTAAAACAAATAAGATTAAATGAAATAGAAAAAGAAATACCCCCTTAGACCTATATAGAAATAGAAAATAAACTTTATTCTGGGATGATGTCCCCTTAGAATAACAATAATGAACAGTTACAAAGGAAAAAATAAACATTTGGCCAAACACTAACTTAATAAAGATTCAAAAAATATATACAACTTAAATAATAATAATAATAAATGAAGCAAAAAATTAAATAAAATCTTCTCAACTATACTTATAACAAAAAGAAAAAAAAATACATGTATAGAAAGAAAAAGCAATACCTCCCGAAAAGAAAAAAATATCAAAAGTACTTAAATAAAAAAAATTGACTTATGTTAAAACCCAAACAGCTAAAGCATACAAAATATATACATATATTAAAAATATATTAATGACATAAGATGAGCAACGGGATCACAATACTACATTATCTCAGCATAAGGGGTATAAAATAAGAATAGATAGATAAATACAATTAGGAAGGGGCGTTAAATTAATTTTATTAGAAAACAATTGCAACCAGAAGAGAAAAAAAACTTATTTACAGAAAATAAATTATTTATATATGTTATACAATACGCAATCGTATTGTATAAATTGTATAAACTACAAAAAAACACGAAGATTAAGATAGGAAAAGATATATATGTATATAAATTGAGGAATTTAAGAAATGAAATATGTCTAAAATATACACAATCTATTTTTACTCTAATAATTTTTTTTTTGCTTTCACTTACATATATATAATATATAGTAAGGGTAAATATTGCGATCGTGAACATTTTTGAATCTGAGTTTTCAACGGAGATACACGTTTTGGGGTACCCTGAGTCCAAATAACCAAGCCCCGAAAAATGGTTTGTGTGTGTGTGTGTGTATGTTAGCAGTCTAGCTCAAAAATGAGAAGTCATACGAAACTGATATTACATATTTAAAATAGGTATATGCCTTAGATGTGACAGAAACTTTTTCCTTAAAACCGGCTAACCGGAAGTGCCACTTTATATCAATGGTGAAACACATTTTTACAATTTTCTCAATAACGGCTCTAACAATATTCGGTGTATCATTGTATAATTAAGTGGCCTTTAATATCATTTAGGCCTTATCCCTGTTGATGTCACTTTACAGAGCTTAAATGACCAATGTTCATATTTCCTCTAAAGTACCTTTAATATGGTTTATTTTAAATAATTAACTATCTCTCATTATTAAGAGTTACGAAAAAATGCTAAAGATAACTTTTGAAAGAATTTGATAATTAAATAAAGGAGAAAAGAATAAAAATGCTTATCCAGGTCAAAAATGAATCTTCAGAAATACTAGTCAGAAGGTAAACATATAATATATCATTGGAAAGCAGAGAATTTTAGAAAAACAATATCTAATATAGAAAGTTGTAGATGGTAATGTAACGGAGAGTGGGAAAAAATTATAAATAATTATTTTTTAAAATTAATAATATTTAACGTAAATCACATGTTTTCAAGGAAATTAAATGAAATTTACTAACTAAATGTAAACTTTTAAAATATTTTTAAGTTTGAAAAAAGTATTTAAAATCCACCAAATCAAAGCAATTGTTTATTGTTACATTGTTTAAAAAACTATTTCATTGTATTTGTGTAAAAGAAGAAGTGAAATATCAAATCATTTCATAGATGTATAAAGCATATGTTTATAACCTTAAATACAATTACTGTAGTTTAATCTAGATCTGATATTATGTTTAAATAATCAGATATCAACGTCCGTTTATTCCGAAATATTGTCATGTAACTTTTTAGATAAATAAATGAGTGAATAATTTGACAAATCTCCCCTTTGTGATATTCCAACAGTATCCACTAATATTTCATATAATGTTGTAATTGTATGAAAATAGAAGAGAAATATAAAAATATTTCATAGATACATCTATACAACAGATGGGCAGAAATAAATGAATTGAAGCTGAATGCAGATAAAACCAAGGCTATTCCCATTGGGTCCAGACATCTCATTAGCTCCCTACCTTACTTTCCTCTACTTAATCTCAATAACAGTCACATCCATTTTTTCCCTACAGTCAAAAACCTAGGAGTAACCTTTGACCAGAACCTCTCCTGGAATAATCATATCTCCCAGATAACCTGAAAATCCATAACTGCCCTTAAACAATTCCTAAGATTCCGTGATTGTATTCCTCTAAAAACTAGACAGCTCCTTGTAACCTTCCTTGTATTCCCCCACTTCGACTACAGCTGTTTGGTGTATGGAGGGCTATCTGCCAGGCTAGAATTGAGACTGAAGAGACTCATGAATTGTTTCATATGATACATTTTCGGGATCCCCAGGCGTTCACATGTTTCACTCTGGTGCACCAAGTTGAAGTGGCTTTATCCTACTTCCCAATGACAATTCCTCCTTGGTGTTTTCCTTTTCCAAGTCTTCAGAACCAAAAACCCTCCCAACATCCTAGAACTCTTTACTCTGCGCTCCTCTATGCACTCTATCAATTCTAGGTCTCAATCTATAGACTTATATATCCCCTCCCATAAAACTTCCTCCTTTAGCAAATCCTTCGGCATTCGTGCTGCTTCCTTATGGAACTCACTTCCTACCACCATGCGTCAATGCTCGTCCACAAATTCCTTCAAACCTCTCCTGTTCCAACACCTACTCCACATTCAAACTTCCCCTAACATGTAAAATTACTTGCATCTGTACACTGTTTAGTTTCAATCTATTGCACAATTGAAATAACAATTAACAGTAAATTAGTTTTTATTTTTATTATTATGTCAGACTAAGACCCATGAATATGTAACTCTGTTATTATTCTTAGGGGGCAGTAGTCCCAGAATAAAATTATTTTTTCATTTCATTTTCATACATTTATAACCTTAAATATAAATACTGTAGTTTAATAACTCTAGATCTGATATGATATTTAAATATTTAAGTATCTATCGTCTGTTTATTCTGAAAAATCATCATGTAACCTTTTAGAAAATTAAATTAGTGTATACAAATACAAGCTCATTTCTTTTGTGACAAAATCAGCAATAAAAAAAAAAAATTGAAATGTTCCGGTTTTTTTTGAAAAATTCTCATACAATTTCCAGTTCGAGAAATTCCTGGTCGCTGAACACCCTGTTTTAAGTATATTTTTGAAGATTTCAAGCTAATTAATAAATTCCAGAAAGTGTATCAAAATGATACCAACCCTTTAATATATAAAATATAGTTACACCAAGTGCACAATGTTCTGGTTTCACAGAAGAAAAATGATTAAAGATTATTGAAAAAAAAAATCATTATTTAATTTTCTGTAATGCTATTTCTGTAATATGTAGTAATATCACATATAATGTGGGTGGTTTCATTTCAATTTGACCCACTAAATATATACATATAAAATATTAAGATAAATATAAACATAGTTCTTCATCTCACCAAAAAGAGTTATCCATTTTTCTACTTCATTGTCCACATGTTGTGAAGGAACCAAACGCAGTCGGGCAAATAAGGTCAACATTTGTTTTGATGTAAGACTTTCAATTAAGGCATTATGTTGTGGACAATACCCAATCATTGACAAACACTAGAAATAGAAATGTGTTATGAAGAAAAAACAACTTAAAAACAGGGTGACTAGAAAATTACATTAGTCTGATTCCCTGTATTGACTAACATTACCTGACCTCTCCTATTCCACAAATAAAGAATTGAAAAAAAGATGAAATATTTACTGTTTTGTCAAATTTTTTTACCAAAATATTTATAAATAACTATGATGAAGGTGAAGGAGAGACGCTGGAGAAAAAATCATTACTAAATTCTGTGAAATAATTATTGGATTGGTCAAGCCTAATGTCCTGACATTATGAGAAGAAAATGACACAAGAAAACTACACAATTATGATTCTTATTCACTTTCTTTATACAATGGCAAAGGGAGACTGGGATGTGGGCTTCCTCCTCTCTTTGCTGAAAGATCAGGCTAAAGTGCCATACTCACTGTCTGTGAATTCTCAGTCTTTCTCATTTCTATCGATGTCTACTGTCACACACAAGTGACGACCCTCCCTCTCCCTCAAGGACTCTAAGACAAAAGAGGCAGAGTATCTAATGAACATCCAAGCTAGCTAGAGGGAGCTCGAGCTGTGGCTGATTGGCTAAAAATGTAGAGGATGTCTAAAAATATACTATCTATTATCAGCCCACTTTTAGTGCTAGGCATATCATATTGTATCAATACCCGCTGCAGGAAGAGGAGCTAGTACCAGCAGTTTGATCACCCACATACTAGTGGAAACAAAAATGTCTGAATCAATTAAAGAAAAATTTTATTTTTCGTATTCTTCAGTATTGGAAGAAGATTTATCCTTTTCAGAAAATTTTGAAGATAATGGCATCAAGCATCTATCAGGGATTGATGACATCAATGAGAGCTCTGTTGGCGCCTTTTTACAATCCCTGACTGAGAAAATTGTAAGCCTCAACGTTGAAAAAGAGGGTTTCAACAGGTCTGCAGTGAACACACCTTTTATTTATTTTATTTCTTTGTCCTCTTGCTTGCCTTTGCGGCTGTACACGATTTTTCCCAGGTCAGGAGAGAGGGCGAGGGATTAATGCCAGAGTTAAAAACCCCTCCACCGGCACCGTGACATGAACTTGTAATTATTTGTATAATGTTATCAGTTTATCAGGTTGCTGGGCAAAGCATTAGCCCGCTCAGCCACCCCGCCACCCTCGAGTCTACTACTACGGTCCCCAGGCGTTCACATGTTTCACTCTGGTGCACCGAGTTGAAGTGGCTTTATTCTACTTCCCGACGACAATTCCTCCTTGGTGTTTTCCTTTTACAAGTCTTCAGAACCAAAAACCCTCACAACATCCAGGAACTCCTTACTCTGCGCTCCTCTATCCACTCTCTCAATTCTAGGTCTCAACAACTAAAGAATTTTAATATAATTCTTAACACTTTTCCACAAAATAATCAGAGTAGAATGTGTGCCATGACGTTCTGAAATTTCAGGTAGTAAACATGCAGAAGAGCTGATTAGGAAAGGCTCAGAACAGATCCAAACAAGCCTGAGCTATATCAAAAGTAAAGTTAAGGTAGCTTATAGCCACAGGCGCAGACTTTCCATTCTGGTTGGAGGGAGGGGATGGATCTACCGCCCCTCCCCCCCAGAAAAGTCTCAGGAGTTTAATAAATATAAAAATTATGAGTGATAATTAACATTATCAACATAATTATTGCAAAAAGAACTGTATAATTATTATTAGTTCCTAGAATTTCTTAGGTGGCGCACAGAGCCGTTACGACGTTCTGCCAGGCATATTAATCTTTAGACAGCTCCTTGACTCCAGACCAGGTCTGTCCAGCACTGAGCATTTCCTTCGCTAGAGTCCTCATAAGAGGATTCCACATTTCTTTAGGCCTTCTGTGTGTTCACTAGCCTTGAGGTTCCACTTCAGACTTTGCCCTGTTATGACTCCTTTCTAAGTATATGCCCCAGCCACCTCCATTTCCGATGTTTAATGACATGATTTATCGGGGCTTGATTAGTAAAACACACTGTATAAAAATAAACAAAGCAATTGAATATATTATATATTTCTTTTTTCATTTAAAGGTTTGAAGCAATGAGCTGAACTCTCAATTCTATGATACTTCAAATTTGCTGCAGAAATGTGATAAAATCTTTACATAAAACTGGAAGGGTGAACATGAATGAATCATAAAATCCTAGGATACGTTGCTTTTAATGCCGCATACGCCCAGATCTTTATTTTTTAATTATCATTTTTTCTCACCATTCACCCCTTTTTATATGTCAATAATAAAATGTTTATTTTTTTTTTTTTGGTAAAAACTGAGGGATAATTGTCCCAGAATTGTTCATTATTTATATGTTTAGGTTTATTTTGCGATGTATTATCGCATTGTATATACACACCAGCCCGGCAGTAATACTCTGTGCAGGGATTAAGACATCAAAATACTGCTGGGTGGTCAGTCTGGAGCTATCTTTCGTTCGTGTTGGAAGTCTACCCCCACCAGTTTCACCTCACCTCACCTAGAGCCATTTTCAAAGAACAGCTGTTCGGCGCATCAGCAGTCGTCGCTCGAGATTGATGGGCTATCGATTTGATTCTTCCCCACCATCGACTGTTGGACATCGTAAAGGTAACCAGGTTGGAAGCAGAACCTTCAACTTGGCTGGTTGTTTATTCTCACCCTTACCAAAAACATTTAAATATTAATTGGATTTGTTTCACCTGTAAATTAGTTTTATTCTTTTGAACAGTTATTATTTTTCTCTCTTGTTTTATTTATAATTTTTAGAAATTGATGTTTCGTTATTAATGGTTAATTTGGTTTTATTTTCATAGGAAATTATATTTTATGTTTCATTTTATTTCAGTGTTTTTTAATAATTTTTTTTATTCGTTTGTTTTGAATTTTGTATATATCTTTTTCCACTATAGTAAATTGTAAACGTTCAAAAGGGGATTTTTATTTTCCTTTACTGATTTATTGAATATTTTTATTTTCTTTATTATTTGATGTGCATGCATTTTTTATGTTTTACAGGTGTCATATTTACTCTTTTTATTTTTCCTTCTTTCCCAACATTTAATTTTGCTCGAATTTTCTCACCTTTGAGGAAACTCACCGGGGAAGGGTTTGTTTTAATTTTGAAATACCCCACGCCCCCAACAGTTGCCTATCCTCAACTTGGCCATTTAGTCGACATTTCCTATTTTATTAATTGAATCTAGTTTACATATTTTATTTTTTCATGTAGATCAATTGTTATTGATTTGTTATTTTTGTCCATCCCTTCCTTGTCTTTGAGGCTATACATACGGGAGGTTTTTCTGGGACAGGGGAGAGGGTGGGAGATTGATGCCACAGTTAAAAAGCTCCCCACAGCACCGGGATACGAACTCCTAATTATTTTATATCTTGTAAACTTCGGTTTATCATGCGGTTAGTTGCCGGGCATCACATGTTTTGCACACTTTTTGTGTTTTGCATGTTATTACACTGATCACAGTAAAGTTTTTAGAATCTAACAAAATCATAATTTAAATAGCTTTAATTGTGGTACAAAATAGGTTAACTAGGCAAAGTGCAACAGGTCAGAACAAAAAAAAAATTATTTTACCTTTTTGCTAGCCATAAATTTGTGGAAAATTTCCTTTGTAGACATCCTGTAAAAAATATTACATGTTTTAAAAATATTATTCCTACCTTAGCTTTCTCCTTTTTAAGGGAATGGCCTTTTATGAAAACATTTCCTTTTGTAGGATACAGGACTCCAGTCAACATATTAAATGTAGTTGATTTACCAGCACCATTAACTCCCAAAAGACCAAAGCACTCTCCTTTGGACACAGCAAATGTAACATCAACAACTGCTACCATGGAGCGAGAATATTTTTTAGCAAGGCCATCCACAATTGCTATTATTTCTTGTTGTGATTCTAAATGAAGAAACACTTGAGTAGTAGGAATTCTTTAGACAAAATTGATATATTGAAATATTTTTATAAATATATTTAAGAAAAGATAAAAGAGGAATCCAGCTCTTATGCATTGTATAGTTATTATAATATAATATAAAATATATAATAAAATTAATAACAAAAAATATATCCAATATAAGTTACAGATAAAAAAAAATTCATTTATTAAAAAAATAAATCTGACAAGCAACAACTATTGTAATTCATCAAATAACAGGATAAGAAAAAACTCATAATTGCAAACGAATAACTACTTTAAATATATATATTTATATATATCTGTGTGAGCACAGACATAACCTATAGTACTCTTACTCAGTGGGAAAGGGGATAATTTATAACAGATCTCACACAAAACCAAGCTGTACATATATAAAATCCTAATTAGACCAGTCTTCATATATGGTTCGGAGTATTAGGCGGTATCAAGAACTCAAGAAACAGTGCTTCTTCAATTTGGACATCGTATTTTAAGAAGAATATTCAGCCTAATACTATATACCCGTTATAGCTCCTGCAGCTTATTGGTTTATTTTGTACACATTTGTTGAATGTTTGGAGATCATATATTAAGAAAATTATTAGCGAAGCGAATTTATACAAGGTTGAGCTATCCTTAGAGTCCACAATTGGAAAGCGGCTGCACTTCTCAGGAATGACTGGCATTGGAATCTGCAGCAAGCCCTGACTCTACACAACTTATAGCGCCATGAAAGAAGAAGAAGATCAAATTATATTTTGTATTTAAATTTGAATTTTCTTCATAGAGAGAAGGGTATATTTTGAGAATGATCTTCAAGACTCAAATTTGGGATGATACAAGGTTTTAAAAGTATTTATGAAAGAAAATTCTCTCCAGATAATCGAATAGTTCTTTTTCTGCTCCTCTTCATATTTGAAATATTGGTAGAGATTCTAGATGTTTGATGGTCAGTTAAACTTTTCTCAACTATATTTTTGAATTGTCATCCACTTTGACTTTGCACCTACCAATACCACCGTCTTACATTATCAACTATAGTTGCTTTCAGTTTAGTAAAAATAGGATCCATTTACTTTTCAGTTAAATGAAATGCTAATTTTTATGAAATCTAGGGTCATCAGTTTTAAAAATACACCCGACTAATCAAATGTTATTCTGGCCAGTTAACTAATGAGAATAACTTGACTTAACATTGGTACACTATTGACCGGGAGGGAGCAGAGGGGAGAGGGAGGAAGGTTCTTGATAACAAATTTCGTTAGAAAGATCAAACAATAATTTTAATTTGTTGTTAATATAATTAATTTTACATAATCTGATGCAATTTATTATTAATGATAATCTGGTGCAAATGTTATTCAGGTGACATAGTATTACTGTATCAGTCAGCTGTAATATGGTTGAGAATTTAGTTCTGAAGGCACCTTTTTTTTTTTTTGAAGGAGTGTCTAATTTGATGTCAGATTACGACTTCAATAATAACACAGTTTTTAAAACTTAAACGTTTTGTGGCAGCAGTTTGAACACAATCAAGTAGCTCTTATTCAAAATGCTAAAAACTTATTGAAGGTGACAACATTTCAGTAATTGAAATTAATTTGCTGATGCCCAAGATGTAACTTTTTCCTTACCTATATATATATATATATATTGTAATATTTTTTTATCTCTGTCTGTCTGTTATTGTCGATGTTTGTCTTTTAAAATCTGAAATCTGTCCTTCGAACCTTTAATCTTTCTGTTAGTCAATTAACCTGGTCCTCGTATATCTATTTACCTTTGTAAGGATGGGACGTATATTTTAAGATAGGATGAGAAGGATAAAGTGTATTAGGTAAGACCGCCAAGAATGATAGAGGGACAACCCCTAAACATCCAGGGCTCAGCAACCGAGGAGGCAATCTCCTGATGTTGCAAGGATAGGATAAGGTAAGACCGCCAAGAATGATAGGGGGACAACCCCTACACATCCAGGGCTCAGCAACCGAGGAGGTAATTCCCTGACGTTGCAAGGATAGGTAACCTTACTCTCCCAGGGACAACCTGGAAGATGCAAGGGGGACTGTAGGAAAACGAGGGCCAACCAAGTTATTCCTACGAAAGGAGAGAGGAGGTAAGTTAGGAGAGAACAGAGAGGAAGGAAGGTAAAACCAAAAAATAACACAATGGTCTGGTTTCGAACTGTCAGGCAGAGAGAATACAGGAGCCTTTGTGGAGGAAGAGGTAGTGACTCGGGAGAGAGTGCCTGCCCAAGAGACCAGGCTTCTATTTAAACTAATAACCAGCCCTCAGACCTGTTTTCAGGTTAGTGAGAGGCAACAATAGTAACAATTATTTTAATAAGGCCCTGAGATCTCTAAGTCCAAACTCCTTTTATTTTTATTTAATTATAGTTCATGAATACTTATTTTAAAAATATTACAAACATTAGTTAATATCAAAAGCAGTAATTACAAAAGGAAATAATAAATAGCTTTAAAATGAAATACATAATTCACTGTGCAACTAACAGGTTGAGCTACTAAAATTATTAATCATTATCAGAAAAAACAATGACTTGCATTAATGAATGAAATAGTTCATTAGAACAAAGCCTAGAGGGCGTCACGCGCATTCTCCAATACACCATACCACTAGTTATTTACTATTCAACCTTTGACAGAGAAGGACCTCCCGTCCGTGTCAGCTCTAATACATCATACTTTTTAATCTTTATCGCTAGTTAAATGTTATTATTGTTTTTACTATTTCAAATTAAATTACAACTAAAATTAATAAAAGTTAATAATAAATTTAATTTATAAATATGTTATGTTACATATAAATGCGTATTTTCACATAGTTCACAAATAATAAAAGAACAGAACATGATCATGACCTCTGTTAATAATTACAATTTATAAAGGCTCTAATAAAATATGTTACAATATATATATATATTTTATAATGATACCTCATTAAAAAGATCATTTTCATGTTGTTCATTATCATTAAGTCCAAGCAATAGTAGTAGAATTTTAACAATTGGACAACAAAGTGAACTTTGCTAAGCAGTTTTCAATAATCAGTTAATAATAATAGCTATGGGGCTGCCAAGGGGGGCAAATGGGTAGGGAAACAGGAGGTCTAGAGAGGGAGATGGGTGCGGGAGTCTTCCCTACTCTTTGCAGAACGATCGAGCGTTAGTGCCCTACCCACTGCTAGTGAGTTCCCACAGAGGCGGGGTTCATCGCTTCCATCTATAAATGTGTATGCATGTGCATGTATGTGAGATGGTTGCGATGGACCTGTTAGGCAGCTAAGCTAGGTTCGGGGGCTCGAGCTGAGGCTGAATAGCAGAGGGTGGATAAAAGAATACTGTCTTGTATCGTCCCACTTGGGGCACCGGGCAACTCTGCATTGTATAGTATAGGGAGAGGGGGCAGAACCTACAGTTTATTTTCCCCCATACTCGTGGGAACAAGATGCAGAATATCCAAAATAAAAAACAACAGGACTTACAGACTAGACGGACTTTTTCTTCCGAGGAAAATTCTTCTTGCACAGAACTTAATTACCCTGAAGTTTCAAGGGCTTCTCTTGATATTACACTCGATGAGGCATAGATGGGAGACACCTTTAGATCTCTCACGGCTGAAATCGAGGAACTTCAAGTTTGCTCTGAAGGCAAGGAGATTAGGAGAGTGTCCACAGCCGAGGCTGGATCTGTTGTCCTGCCTCCACAAAACCTTCAAGAAACAAGCCTATCAAGCAGACCTGACAGAATCAAATATTCAGATGGTAGGCGGTGGACTCGCTCCGAAAGAAGCAGTCCCTGCCACACTGAAACAATCACAAACAATGAGAAGGCAGCAAAGGAGGAATTGAATGGCTGCCAAAATCATTCTAAAGACACATCCTGAATTGGGGCTTACATTAGGGCACTCGGCTAAGGCCTAGTGCAAGGATCAATCCCAGATTCTATAAACAAGGCCGAGGAGTCCGATGTGTTGGTCTCTGATTCAAGAACACAACAAAAAATCAAGGAGCCTAGTAGTGGGCAGGAAGCCAAGGGTGCAAGGGCCAATTATGGCCCGGCGTCTAAGGCCGAACTGCCCACTGCAATGGCTCAAAGAAGATACTTTACCCAAATGGAGCCACCCTATCGACCACCACCTAAAGACGTAGAGGTCTCTGGATACCCTAAGCCTAAGAGGCTGTGGAGGCTAGCCCCAAACACAGGCAAAAGGCAAAGAACCTCACTGGGTACCACAGCACCTACTGCCAAGAAATCCAGAAAGGTATTACCAAAAGCTATGACTCAGCCTTCTTTTCATTCATTTTGAATAAAGGCATTGTCAAATTCTTTCTAATGTGAAATCCGCGGGGATGATTCCCTAAGAGTGCCTAAGGACAGTAGAAGTTTGGGATCAGTAACTAGCTCCGTCTTCCATATATCACATGTCAATATCACTTGGAAATCATGCAACAGCGTTCCAATCTGAAATACTGGCGATAACTCACTGTGCCTCAAAAATGCTGCTTGAGGGCCTAGTTGGGAGAAGTATTTCAATAAACACTGACAGTCAAGCGGCTATACGAGCACTGGACAACTATACAGCTAGATCTAAGGCTATTAGGGATTGTGTCAGAATTCTCAGTGACTTATCCTGACTCAATAAGGTAAACATTGAATGGATTCCGAGTCACTCTGGAATACACGGTAATCAGATGGCAGATGAACTAGCTAGACTAGGCTCATAAATGATTCCTATAGCTCCTGAACCCATCTGTGGAATTAGTCAGAGTCTAATAACAGACAGAATTGGGGAGATCTAAGAAGTGCTGAAGCTAAAAAGAGCTGGTGCTTGAAAAGACTCACTCTAGACTATTTCTAGAAGAAATCTGTCAAAAAAGAAGTAACCTACTAATTAATCTGAGCAGGAACTCACTTAAGAAAATTACAGCGGTATATACAGGGCACTGCAAACTGAATTATTACATGTTCAATCCACGGCTCATGGAGTCGTCTCTTTGCAGGTACTGAGGCCAGGAGGAGAAAACAGCTTATCACATTACTAGTTGGTGCGACAGGTTTGCTGGACTAAGATTCCGATTATTCGGCATTGATAGCGTGACTAATCCCAAAGCAAACAAGTTCATAAACCCAAAAAGCTTATTACAGGAAGAAACTGCAGGAATCACACTCTAAACAGCAGGGCCTTTAATAGAGGCGTACAATAGGCCTACATGGTCACAGTGCACGAACTCATGTCGCTTAAAAAAAATATGTAATGGGGCCGCCAAAAATTGTATTTTCTCTACCCGTCCGTTCTCCTACCATTTCCTTGTTGCCCTTTCGTACATTCTTTGAGAAAATCAGTACTTTTTGAAAATGCTGTGGGTGTTTGTGCCAAAATCACTGAAATTCACACGTTATGGTGAGTGGTTGCTTTAAGCAATTGAGTTTTAATTTGAAATTAGTTTTTGCCTTCAGCAATTAAAATTTAATTTGAATTTTTTTCCTCTCAACAACTTTGAAGATGGCGCCGACTAAGGATACTGAGGGACTTAAAGCTATAAATGATAGAAAGGAAAGGATTTTTCTTCGAATTCAAACCACATTCAATATGATTAAGGGTCTCCCTGATAGGAAATGTTTATGGTTATGGCTTAAGAAATTAAAGCACAACTGGAGGAATTAGAAGCTTTGTTCAACAAGATTTCCATGCTAAATGGATCATTAGGTGAAGAACATAGAATATAAGTAAACGCACCATCTTGACGCAATCCAATGAGACTCCATATACTCTTTTAACTCCGTTGACTTTATGGTAGAAAACTTGACTAATCAACTGCACATTATCCTAGACCATCACGCTCCTCTTAAAGTCAGGACAATCAAGTACCCACCAGCCCCTTGGTTGACGCCTGCGATAAAAAATTGCATCAAACAAAGAGACGCAGCAAGACGAAGGTTTAAGCTCCACCCCTCATATATCCCCCCTTTAATTCCAATCATTTTTTCTTTTCCCCCTTTACCCATGACGACCTCCTTAAATCCATCTGCAAATCCCAAACCAAAAATTTCGGACCAGATAATATCTCAGTTAAATTAATTAAATCCTCACTTTCATCCATTTTCCCAGTCCTTTATCATATCTATAATTTCTCACTCTAAAGTTCCACTTTTCCCAGCACCTGGAAAACCGCTCAGGTTCGTCCTCTGAACAAAATCTCTAACCCCACAACCCCTAATGATTTCTGTCCAATTTCTCTCTTGTCTAACCTTTCCAAACCTTTGGAACGAATAGTACAATCTCAACTATCCCAATATCTTGAACAAAATAAACATTTGAACTGCTTCCAGTCTTCTGGTTTTAGACCAGACTATTCCACTCATTCCGCCCTCATTAAAATCTCCCAAGATCTCCACACAGCCATAGATCAACAGAAACTCACCATCCTGATCCTTATTGATTTCCCTAAAGCATTCGACTCAGTTGACCACAATATCCTCCTAACCAAACTTAAAAATATATCCTATATATAGTACTCTTAAGTGGTTCCAATCCTTTCTCACCGATCGCTCCCAGTACGTTGTAGTTCCTAATAATCCTCAATCAATGTCCAGAGGTGCCCCACAAGGTTCCTCATTATCCCCCACCCTCTTTTCCATCTACATTAATGACCTCTCTTCCTATCACACACTGTCAATATCACCTATACGCCGATGACGTCCAAATTTATCTTTCCTTCAACGCGACAGATTCCTCTAATGCCATCCTGAAACTGCAACAAGACATCAATAAAATATGAGCATGGGCAAATCTTAAGCTCACATTGAATACGGAGAAGACAAAAGCTATCCTGATCGGATCTCCCTCACTCCTTAAATCCATTTCAACAACTCCTAATCTTCTTCTGAACAACTCACCTATCTCCTTCCATAACACCGTTAAAAACCTAGGTATTACCTTCGATCAAAGCCTCTCCTGGAAACCACAAATCTCCTAAATTTCCTGCCGTACTATATCCACCCTGAAAGAGTTTAACCATCTACGTTATCTTCTTCCATTCAAAACCCGTCAATTCCTGGTCTCCTCTCTTGTTTTCCCCCACTTCGACTATGGCTGCATGGTGTATGGTGGACTCTCGGGAGAACTCGAAGCCAAACTTAAACGTTTAATGAATTGCTCAATCCGCTTTATCTTTGGGATCTCAAGGGATACGCATATTACCCAGTTCTACACCAAGTTGAAGTGGCTTTATCCGTCCTACCGCCATCAATATTTTCTGGCTACCTTCCTATACCAAGCCATCACAACACGGCGACCTGCCTATATTCTACAGATCCTACAATTTAAACGCTCCTTTCAATCCCGTCCCACCAGATCCCGTGCGTCCGACCTCTATCCTCCTCCTCACCGAACTGCTGCATTTGATAAATCCTTTTTAATACAAGTTGTCTCCCTCTGGAACTCTATACCTTCAGATATTCGACATGCAAAATCGATATCTTCTTTCAAATCTCTCCTCTTCGAACACTTACTCCGTTCCCAATGCACTTAAAAACCTCAAAGTACACCCAGATACTCTGATTATTTTGTAATTCAAAATTACTTAATTATTTTCTCTGTATATTTTATATTTACACGTATTTATATCTTTTTATCATTTATAACTTTATTGTACTCCGAATCAACCTGTAAATATTAAATTGTATTTCATGGACACACCAAAATATTAATATATATTCTGTATTTGTGACTTGTTCTAAAGGGACACTAGTCCCAGAATAATAAAATTATTTTCATTCATTCATCTTTAGCGGCGGAAAAACTTTATTATGAGATAAAAGTTGCGCACGAGAAATTAAAGCTGAGCACATAGTTTCCGCTTCTCAACCCATGTCTAAACCAGTAGCGCACCCCAAATTGCCAGATTTACAAATTCCTCAATTTTCCGGTCAGTACGAACACAGGCCATTTCTAAAATTGAGCTTAACGCAGAAAATTACAGCTTAGCCTATAACAAAATTGGTAAAGCGCTACAGTAATAAAAGGATCATTGCGGCCTACCATCTTAACAAAATTATACAGTTTAAATCACTTTCAGTTGATAATTCTTCCAACTTTAGAAGCTTTCTGGACACATTTGAGGATAATTACAATGCCTTAAAAAATTATAAACCCCACAACCTCGCTAATTTTATTTTGCTGCATCATTGACTGAAAATTGTAGACCCGAATACAAGAAGAATAGTCTCAGCGAAGAGACTTTGAAGAATTTTGCAAGTTTGTTAGGTCACAACTTAGAGTCGCATAAATGTGTTCCGAGCCTTCTACGTCCAAAACCACCCAGCCTAAAGTTCAGCGAAAAACATTTATAGATAGCAATCACTATAGACCGGATAAGTAGAAATTTAAGTAAGAGTGCCCAGTTGATTTATGCTTTTCTTTGGCAAATGAATGAATTGGCAAAGTAAGGACTGTTGCTGAGTTTGTGGCAAAAAAAGTCACCATACAATGTTACATAGGGCTGCAAACACTGAGCCATCACAGTCTCAACTAACAACAATTCTCGTGCAGTTTCGTGCCATGCTACCATCAGCTCACAGGTACTTCTGGGTACTGCGTCAGGTAGAATTTGTTCAAGTTCAGGTCAGTGGTATTCATGCAGAATGGTGAAAGATCCAGATTCAAAAATTAATTTAGTAGCCACTGATCTAGTGAAAAAGTTGCACCTTCGTTCCTGTGTTAGTCCTCTAGTGGTGTCAGGAGTAGGTAATGCCTCCATATCTTCATCTTCTGCTGAGGTTAAAGTGAAGTTGGGTTCAACGAGAAATAGAAATATATATGAGAAGGAGTTAGTCTGGGTTGCGGTCAAATAAATACTAAATTAAAATATATTAATTATTTTAATTTATGCCGATGTTTCGACCCACTTTGCAGGTCGTCTTCAGGGCTACAAAAGATACAAAACATGTTGAAAATAAAAAATAAATATAAGTAGATATAAAATAAGAAGAGGTTGTCAGATACAAAAATAAAAGATGGTATCAGAGATATAGTGGGTGACAATGTAGTTGAATATTAAATATTATATATGTAGAAGATACAAATAAATGGAAAATAAGTATGAATAAAAATAAAAATAAAGGAGAATATAGCATGTAAGTTAAAAGTAAACAGATTGCGATAAAAGATAAGGAATAAGTGTATAACAAACTAATAGAGATTACATTAGATAACTGTGGGTTAACAGATAAAGAAAATGATTGTATGGTGAGGTTTTAAGTGACCTTGTTTTATTTCTTAATGGTCAACCTAAATCTATTCCTACCTCATTAGGATGGGTATTACTTGGGGAAAACCTCTTGGAAAGCCAAAGCCCTATACCTTCAATACATACTTTTTTCACGCAGACCAGCCTTTCCTTACAGGAGGAATTAAAGCGATTTGGGAGAGTAAGGAAGTCACAGTTTCAATTCCGCCGAATCCTGAAGATGCATTATGCGAAGATCACTTTATAAATACATGCACTCGCGATCTTCAGGGTAGATTCGTTATTTCATTTCCGTTCCGTTCTGACCAGCCGATTGCCTTTGATTCCACCAGAAAGATAGCTCTACACAGATTTAGAAATCTGGAAAATAGATTTAGGAGAGATCCGGAGTATAAGACTGCCTATGCTGCAATAATGGATGAAATGGAAGCTGTGAAAGGTGCTAGTAATATGGGCCGGGGGAAAGACATTGCCAACATTGTCGAGGCGGAAAAGAAAACGGCCCAGATAGACGAGACTGCTAACGTCGAAGAGGAACCAAAATCTGAGGATGAAGAACAAGGCGAAAATTGGAGGGCACCAGTTGTTCCCCTACATCTTTGAGGAATAAGCCAAAGAAATTATCCGACTTAGACAAATGGAGTGAAGAAGATGACTATTCGGAAGAAGACTTTAAAGGCAGCAGCGAGAAAGAAGAATTCTCAACTAGTGAACCTGGCGTTGGCGACGATTCTATGGAAAGGAGGCAACCTGTGAGGAGGTCAGCGAGAGCGAAAATACCAAGAATAGATAAAGAGTTCATAATTGACGATTCCGAATCAGGTGATGAGCCTAGGAGGAAGAAAACCTGCAGAATTTGGGCAAGTTTGAGCCCGGAACCGAGCAATACAACTTGAGAAAGAAGGAAAACGAAAACATACAGTAGGATTAGATCCTCAAGAAATAGAAAAAAAAAGAAGATGGTCCTGGATTCAGATTCAGACCGACCTAAGAAAACCAAAATTAAAAGGCCGAAGATTAGGTGAGGACTTTCTGAGGACAAAGGGGAACCACTGAAACGGACTAAAGGGAAGAAGATGAGCTACCTTGAGGTTGCCGGTTCCGATACTGAAGAGGGCGTCATCGCCAGAAGCAGGAAGTTGATAAGTGAAGATGAAGAAGGATTTGTACCTGAAAAAGAAGAAGTGAGGGAAGATGAGGAAAATGAACCTGAGGAAGTTGAGCCTGTAGAAGAAGTCCAAGAAGTTGAAGGAGCTTTATCAATTTGTTAAGAGCCGGTGTGAAACCATCATTTAATTTGGACGGGTATGAAGTGGACCTTTACTTCTCCTGCATCTCCTCATTTCGGTGGTATTTGGGAGGTAGCTATTAAATCCGCTATGAGACACCTTCTTGCTGTTCTCCAGGATCATGCGTTAACTTATGAGGAATTTTATACTCTTCCTCATAGCAGAAAATGTATCTATCTGTTTCATTGGCCGTGAGGCAACCCTGAGTCAGGAGACCCTCATGGGGCTCACCCAACTTCTATAAAGTGGGTACCCTTAATTAAAAATAATGAATCAAGGGGGACAACCTGATGGTTGAGCGTGATCTCGGTCAAATCACCTCCTTGCACAACTGTTGACCTAGAAACAGTGCTTTCCCTAAATAATACTGAATCAAAGACCCTTCATGGGTTGTAGTGGTAGAGGTAATTTATTAGCCTGATTTCTCTCTTTCTTTATTGTAAACCAAGCAATTTTTTTCTCGTGTGTGCCTTGCCTAATAATCACCAATCTCTGAGTTTGGTTTTTTATTTGTAAAATGAGATATTTCATGATGGGAGATATGTTTGTAGCAAAATGGTTTAAATTTCCCGTGTTATGGTGAGTGGTGGGGGCAGATCAGAAGATCTAAGAGATAACACTTAATCTGTACCAGCTGCCGATTTTCTCAGAAGCACTTCTCCAATGGCAGCCACTCTGATCACAGCACCGGCATCTGAGGACCCTTAAGGTAACCAAAAGATGTAAGCTGGCATAAAGATGGTAAGCCATTTTTTCACAATCAGTATAACCTACTAATCTATTAAAATACAGTCCACTGCATAAAAGTAGAATGTTCATGAGAATTATTTGCCTTAATTAGAAAAGTTGCCTAAACAGTGGGACATCTGGCCACCTTACATAAGGGACAAGTATCAACCACACATCTTCCAGTAAAAATTTCACAACTTAAATTCAAATTTTCAACTTGAAATCCCAGGATACAGGATAGCTGAATCATTTCATGTTTTAGGACGGTAAGTACCTGGATTCTAAAGGATTGCTTCTTCTAAGTAAATGAAAATGTTTCTGGGTATCTATCTACTTTTTGTGACTATTCTGAAATCGGGTAAAACCAGATCTAGAAATTAAATCTTATATATATATATATATATATATATATATATATATATATATATATATATAAGATAATATTTTGTTTACTTAATGTAAGTGAAATTTTTTAAATAATATGATATTAATTTGATAGCAATTATTAAGTCCCAACTGTTACTGTACCTGTGGTTTCTAAACCATCTATCCTGCTCTTCTCTCTGGCAACATCACTGTTTACCTCCTTTAGGCCAGTATTGTCAATATTTCCAATAAAAATAGAATAAATCTTATACCACAAGAAAGGGAACAAGCCATAATCTGTTAAAACGACTAGAGAAAAGAAAAGAAATAAATCAACGGCTAGAAATAGTAAGTCAATCCTAAGGTCTTCATCTTTTAAATACTCTGATTTTAGGATATCTGGAGAAAAGAAAAAATAATCAGTAAATTATGTAAAACTCGATGAATATATACAAACTGAAATTTTTATAGCACACCTGCACATTCTTCTGATGGACACATGTTACAGTATCTTTTATTTCCTGCCAATGTTATGAAGTCCACCATTGCTATTGATGAAGCAGTGAAGGGTTGTAATTTCAGAATTTGACTGTACGGATGGATGCTTGGTATAGGTATAACATACTGAGAAATAACACCTAAAAAGAAAAACGTTACATGAGTATTGGAGTATTGGTAATGAATTCTTGGAACTAATGTTCTTTGAACGAAAAATAATGATAAAGTATTACCAAACACTGGAATTGCAGAAATGTAGAATGGTATCATTATTCGCATCGTCTTGAATAAAAGAGAAACAAAGTAGGCTAATGAAATCATACTTATACCAGATAAAAATAATATCAAGAATAAAACATCTGAAATTGGAAACAATAATTAACATTCTTAGAACTTATTAGTTATTAATTCTTGGACAGATATCAAATACAGTTAGTTAATATAATTTCAATTATCTTATATATATATAATATAATCCTGATATTATTATCAGGATAATATATTAAATTTTAACCCTTGAATCTGCAGTTGTTGAATTAAGTAGTTTTATTTATTTTATTAGTTTTAGTTTATGAGTTTCTGATGATGGGATAAATTCGAAAATGTAAAAATTATGGTTCTATGAATTTTTAGCAGCGATTTTAAAACTGGAATGGTACTGGGCAACAAGATCTCTGATGGCGAAAGGCGATACAGAGAGGCATAGTTAAAAATATACTCAATCAGATTGAGAAATTAATTTAGAATAGAATAGAATAGAAAATAATTTTATTCTGGGACGAAGTCCCTTCAGAATAACAAAAAAGTACAGAAATTAAAATGTTATATCTGGCCAAATAAAAACAAACATAAAAAGTAAAGATAAAGATACATATAAAATACATACTATATACAAAATAAAAAAAAAATCTATATACAAAACTCTTGAGACCATACCAAGATACTTAAAACTATGTACAATGGTAAAACATAAATAAACCCTTTTAGAAAAAATAAAAAATACAGAAAAAAACAAATGTAAATTCTTCTTACCAGTAAAATCTGTGTTTCTGTTGAAAAAAAAGAAAGTCGAATCTATAATAAGTATTTAAGTTATGAGCTATAAGTGAATATATTATTATGAATAATATGTAATTTTACATAAAAGGTGAGCTGGTATCTGACTGTTTTTGGGACAGGAATTAGAATAGGAGGGTTTTGAATGTAGATAGGGATGAAGAATGTCGAATTTTGATAGGAAGGGAATTCCAAAAATTAACAGAGCAAGTAATAAAGGAGTTTTGGAACGAGGCAGATCTGTGAGAAGGAATGTAAAGGTCAGAAGGTCGAGATCTAGTGGAGAGGGAGTAGACTGAGGACTTGAATTGGAGAAGGTTGTAGGCGTAAGGACGATGATTGTTAATGATATGATAGAGGAATGTACCTAGGAAATATTGTCTTCGAATGGAGGGGACTTTTGAGCAAGTCATAGCAATCATTAACATTGGCATCCAAAACCTGAGGGCAATATATAATTTTACGGCTTGATTTACAACCTGGGCATTCTAATTTCAATTTCTCCTTATACGGTCTATTGTGATTGCTATTTAAAAATATTTTTCGCTGAACTTTAGGCTGGGTGATTTTGGATGTAGGGGATTCGCAACACATTTCTGCGACTCTAAGTGGTGACCTAGCAAATTTGCAAAGTTCCAATTCCAATTGGAAAATTATGGTTCTATGAATTTTTAGCAGCGATTATAAACCCCTAATGGTACTGGGCAACAAGATCTCTGATGGCGACAGCTGATAAAGAGAGGCATAGTTAAAAATATACTCAATCAGATTGAGAAATTAATTTACATAAATTACAAAAAAAAAGTTATACATCATCTAAGCATTCGGAATCATAGTGGTCGTTTGGAAAAGATATTTTACAAATAAAAAAGAAAATTTTATTCAATACTGATTTAAAGTTGTTATTAATTTTTGTTTAAGATGATGTTTTGAGTTTTTTCTTGTTATATTCTAATGATTTAAGAAGTAATTAATTGGAAATATAATAGTGATAAAAATAGTCATTATTTAAAATAAATATAATAATCATTTACTTTATAGTATAGAATTTTAAGTGCTTATTATTTCTATCATAGCTTTTTAACAATATTTTCCAGCCAATCTTCATAAATATTTTTCTTATTTCTTTTATTTTTGTACATTATTATTATTTTTTTTTTCAAGAATGCAATATAAATTAAAAACTAGATAATTCTGCATTCAAAGTTTGAGCAAGCTCCTAAACTCAGAAGTAAGCTTGTTTGTGCCAATTATGATTAGAATTTGCCGCATTACGGTGAGTGGTGGGGGCAGATCAGAGGATCTAAAAGATAATACTTAATCCTCAAGAACTGCAGGTTTCTGGGGGCACTTCTCCACTGACAGCCATTCTGGTCACACCAACGTATCTGAGGACCCTCAAGGTAACCAAAAGATGTAAGCTGGCATAAAGACCATAAGCTATTTTTTGCACAATCAGTATAACCCACCAATCCATTAAGATACAGTCCGCTGCATAAAAGTAGAATGTTGCCCATAATTTTGAATCATGCCTTATTAAAACCCATGAGAGTTATTTGCCTTAATTAGAAAAGTTGCTCAAACATTTTGGTCCACCGGTCACGATTAAATAGTTATAGTGACATGCTGGAATTAGGTGATTTCGTTAATTCTTAACGTTAATCTTTGCTTGTTTGCTGCTGAACTTTGAATTTGTTTTAAATAAAGGACATGCTTTGATGAACTTTGAATTCAATTTGAATAAAATTGGATTTTGCCTTCAGCAATTAAAATTTAATTTGAATTTTTTTTCTCAACAACTTTGGGGGGAGGGAGGAGGGCTTTCGGGCTGAAACCCCAAATTCCAGATTTACAAATTCCTCAATTTTCCGGTCATTAGTAACAATTTCCTTCATTTAAATCATTATTTGATGCCTTAATTCATCATTGAAATTATACAGATATAGTAAAGTTTTCATACCTCAAATCGCTTTTAGTTCATCCTGCTTCACAAGCCATTTCTTCAAATGAGTTGAAAGCAGAAAATTTATAAATTAGTAAAGCACTACTGTAATAAAAGGTCATTGCGGTTTACCATCTTATCCAAATTATACGGTTTAAATCATTTTCTGTTGATAATTCTTCCAACTTTAGAAGCTTTCTGGATACATTTGAGGATAACTACAACGATTTTATTTTGCTGCATTTTGGACTTAACGCTGTAGACCCGAATACAAGAAGAATGTGAGAATAGTCTCAGCGAAAAGACTAGTGTTGCCCAAATGCGAGACCGAGACGAGTCTTGGTCTTGCGCAAGAGTCTCGCAACAGTCTTGCTGTTACTTATTAGCTTATTAATATAGAGATATTATTGCAATTCTTTAAATAAAAGAAACCTAACTAAGCAGGAATGAAAAATTAGAGGAGTTAAATGCAAAAGTATATTAACAATTATTAACATATAGTAACTAAGATTGTCGAGTATTAGTAACTATTTTGCATTAATTTTTATTTAAAAATTGATTTTTTTTACCAGTCCTGGTCTTGATTCTGCACAAAGTGACCAAGACTGATTTTAGGCAAACACTAGGAGAGACAGTTCCTAAATTTGCAAAAAATACCAAGTTTTTAATTTATTTTGCATTCTTGAAAAAAAAAAAAATAATAATGTACAAAAATAAAAGAAATAAGAAAAGATAATTATGAAGATTGGCTGGAAAATATTGTTAAAAAGCTATGATAGAAATAATAAGCACTTAAAATTCTATGCTATAAATTAAATGATTATTATATTTATTTTAAATTTTTTAAATAATGACTATTTTTATCACTATTATATTTCCAATTAATTACTTCTTAAATCATTAGAATATAACAAGAAAAAACTCAAAACATCATCTTAAACAAAAATTAATAACAACTTTAAATCAGTATTGAATAAAATTTTCTTTTTTATGTGTAAAATATCTTTTCCAAACGACCACTATGATTCCGAATGCTTAGATGATGTATAACTTTTTTTTTGTAATTTATGTAAATTAATTTCTCAATCTGTTTTAGTATATTTTTAACTATGCCTCTCTTTATCGGCTGTCGCCATCAGAGATCTTGTTGTCCAGTACCATTCTGGGTTTATAATCGCTGCTAAAAATTCATAGAACCATAATTTTCCAATTGGAATTGGAACTTTGCAAATTTGCTAGGTCACCAACCACTTAGAGTCGCAGAAATGTGTTGCGAGCTTCCTACATCCAAAACCACCCAGCCTAAAGTTCAGCAAAAAATATTTTTAACTAGCAATCACAATAGACCGGATAAGGAGAAATTTAAATTAGAATGCCCAGGTTGAAAATCAAGCCGTAAAATTATAAATTGCCCTCAGCTTTTGGATGCCAATGTTAATGATCGCTATGACTTGCTCAAAAGTCTGATTTATGCTTTCCTTGTAGGTGAACATATCGAGTAACCTTTTAGAAAATTAAATTAATGATTAATAATTGGTAATTGGTTGACTGTCGTGGATAATGAAGAGAAGAATAGTTGAGGAGGTCAGTCAAAAAAGAAGACAAAAATAAATGATAATATTTATTTTTTACATATGCCGACGTTTCGACCTGAAGTTCAGGCCTTCATCAGGGCTAAGAAAATAACCAGATAACAAGGTATGAGAAACATAAGTAAAGATGGTAAAAAAGATAATAAAAAATAAAAAAATTAGAAAAATAAAATAGATAAATATAAAGTAAAATGAAATTGTTAGAATAATGACTAAGAACTAAGAGATAAATAATAAAACCCGTTGCAAAGTATGGAATGATGAAGTAGGCATAATCAAAGAGGGTGACAAAAGTGTTACAATGGGAATCTTAGAATAAAATGTAAAACATAAAAAAGAAATATGAAGTTATATTATGTTATGTTATATTATAATATGTTACTCCAAGTTTTATTTTATTTTATTTTGTTATAATCTTGTTTTTCTTTTATTTTATATATGGTATGATTGTGTTTCATTCATCCTAAATACTCAATGCCCTTAATTGAGGCAAAATGTATTTTTTTTTTCTCAATAAAAATATTAAAAGGAAATTTATTATAGCGACGGTTGGCAATAAAAATCTAGTTACTTCATCTGCTTTTATAAACCACACAACTTCAGTCTCTGAGCTTTTCAATTGATATAATATAATGACTAACTCCAATTTCAACATTTTTGAGTAATGTCATTTTAGTGATATTTCTAATTGTAAAAGTTATATAGTGGCATTGTAGTGTTAAAATAAAGAACTGAATAAAGGCATATAGACATTTTTCCACTAGAAACA